CTTCCAGGAACTGCCAACCATCACCCACCCCATTACGGGGTTAAAATTCAGGTTTAATGTATAAAATTTATTACTTAAAATTTTAAAAGTAGCATTTTGAAACATCATTATCAATCTTTGGCACAAAAATTCAAAAATATACTTCAGATTTTCGATTTTGGTTGCACACATGACGAGGTATAAACTTGTATTGCTTTTATTAGTATATATAATTTATAATATTTCACTCTAAATGTGGAATTACAACTGTCTCTTATACACATCTAGATGTGTATAAATGGAACATTGTAGGCTACCCTGTAGCTTTTCAACGAATAAAGTCCTATAAAAGTCATTGTGTAATAAAATGCCTCCGACGGGATTTGAACCTGCGACCTCTCGCTGACAAGGTGAGCGTCATAACCATTAGACCATGGTTGAACAGATCCAAATAACCGACGGGAACATTGCATTACACAATGGTGCGCCTCAAGAGGCCGTTTGGCCAGATAAGTTATCTGGAGAAATGGCTAGAAATAAATACTGTCGTATTTTGTATATGATATTGTAGAAAGTTAGCCGTTAACACTGCTGCACTAGCCTGTAGGTCGTAGCAGAGCTACATTGGCAAACATACAGTAGCAGGGGCGGATCCAGTAAGGGGAACGGGGGTGGGGGTGAACGTGCCTCACTTATCTATTCTGTATATGTTGTGCCCCCACCCTGTTTGAAAAATTCTGGATCCATCCCTGAGTAGTAACAGTTGTATGGTAAAATTTAAAAAAAAAATTAAAATCTGGAGAGTTTGCAATGTTGACTGGTATATTTATTACATCAAATGAGCAAACATTGTAGTGAATATGCATACAAATGGTTTTTTCATTTGCAAATGAATACAATTCATTATAAATATTGTCATTAAAGTACTATGCTGACTTTGTAATAACAAGGTAGAACAGAACCAAACAAACACGTTTGTGTTGTCCCAAGGACAAGTCTTTTTTGGGAAACAAGGTCAGTAGCTCGCTCACTTCCAGGAACTGCCAACCATCACCCGCCCCAATACGGGGTTAAAATTCAGGTTTAATGTATAAAATTTATTACTTAAAATTTTAAAAGTAGCATTTTGAAACATCATTATCAATCTTTGGCACAAAAATTCAAAAACATTCTTCAGATTTTCGATGTTGGTTGCACACATGACGAGGTATAAATTTGTATTGCTTTTATTAGTATAAATAATTTATAATATTTCACTCTAAATGTGGAACTACAAAGCATAATTACTGTCAAAATGAGATATTGAGTAATCATAAAGATTTATTAATCCACACCCGGTTAGAAAAAATGTAATTCTACTGGAGTAGACATTATTACAATCTTAAAAATTTCTTAAAATGATCATCAGCCAAAATGCAACAAATAAAGAAGGCCTGTCAATTGGAAAAAAAAACACCTCAAAAAATTGCGTTTTCTGATTTTCAATTGCTTGCTTTACAAAGAATGTAACAAATTATAATTGCAATGTGTTAAATGACTGCAGTACACCACATAGATAGTTCTGAAAAGAACTGTTGTTTTGTTAAGAATATTTCAATATATTGATTGAGTTGCTTCAATCATTTTCAAGTATTGAAGAGGATATTTAAAATGTATTAGCCCAATTGTTTATCTTTAATTTCAATTCTCAAGAGGTATCAAAGAATGTTGAAATATTAATAAAATATTAAGTACATAACATCAGGTTTGCTGTATAAACCACCATAATATCGAATTAGATTTAATAAAATCACTAGCAGTTATATAAAATACTTGTATACATTTTTTAAACCGGATTAAAAAAGATGAAAACAGCATTTTATTCAAGGATGGTTGTCTTTGCAAACTTGTTTGATTCGTTCCATGCCTGAAAAATAAAGAATAAGTATTCAAATTAAAACTTACATATGTATAATTTTTGAACAACAAACCTATTGTTAATGATTGGATGTAAATTGATAATCTGTTGATGATACAGTAGTGTCTGACATAAAACACTAATTTAATTAATTGAATTAACTGAATTAATTATGTAACTGTAAGTTTTGAAAGTCTCACTCTACTGCTTATGTGTGTAGGTGCTAGCTGGTGTGTGCGTGTGTTTGTGCGCAGGTGTTAAGTGGGAGTGATGTGTGTTTGGGCAGGAGAAAGTGAGTACACATTTTGTTTGGTGGTTGGTCTCTTTTATTTCAACCAAATATTATATGTACCTCTATATTAATAAAACCTTTCTTTTTCAAATATTTTGTTGCCGTGATGACCCAACCAACTGTACCACAAAAGAAGGCTAGGCGTACGTTACGTAAGTAGGTTGCAGTTGAATTCCCACTGAAAACTGAACTTTTATTCGTTATTTATCAGGAGAGTAAGTACAGTAAGTAGGCATACCCTAACTACCTAAGCCCTTTTTTTGAGGGGGGGGGGGGGGTTTGTAAATTGACAGCCTAACGTTCCCTGCTGTATTGATTGCGATTCCACGTGAATTTTCGTCGCTGACTGAGGCCGGCTGTAGGCTAGGCATAGGTGTAGTAGGCTAGGCTAGCCCTTCCCTCCCTATGCTAGTGGAGTGCCTATGCAAGGTCTCACGGATCACCACAAAATGAGTCTCATGGAATGGTTAGAAAATTATATTTAGGCCTAGGGCCTACTAGGCCTATTTGGGTAGGCCAGGGATTTGTTATTTATTCATGAAACGTGAAGCCTTCGTGGTCTAGTGGTTATGATGCTCGCCTTGTCAGCGAGAGGTCACAAGTTCGAATCCCATCGGAGGAATTTTATTACACAATGGCTTTTATAGGACTTTATTCATTGAAAAGCTACAGGGTAGCCTACAATGTTCCATCATGTCCTTATTAAACACTGTATATGTACCTGTCTCTTATACACATCTAGATGTGTATAAGAGACAGGTTTATAACAGACCCGAATTCAATAGTCGGCTGCAGAGCTGGAACCCAGGCCGTGGCGTGCAAGAGGCAGGAACCATACCAATCGGCCAAATGCTCAGCTCATAATAATAATGAAAACAGTTAGTTTTACAAAATTTAAAAATACTGTTTGCACATACTTTTCTGAAATCAGCATAGAGGTAAAGACTGGATGATGCTTCTAGGTAGGGCACTCCTATGGACGTTAGCTCTCTGGTCACCAATTCGTAACTTTCTCGTAATCTCTTCCTGTTATTGGCATAGTAGACATCATCTAACCAATCTGAAAATATAATTTACTAGTATTACTACTTTTATTGATGTTAAAATTATCTTCATAATAAAATAACTATTACAATAAGTGCAATCATCATTGTCATCAGTACTGTCATCATCATTATATTAATACTTTACATAAATGAGAAGATTCAAGGTTTAAAATATTATTTCTCTTGGCAGAATTTATTATTTTTTTCATTGATGAAAATTTGCTAAACAATGTGGGGAGGCCAGATAGTCACATAAACGTCATGACTAGTGGCTAAATAATTAGACTCCCCATTAATGATGATGATCAAAACTGCAGTCTACCCACAAGAAAATAATGGAATTGCTCCCATATTTAGGCACATTGTTTTCTTGAGCGCTGCCTGAATGCGAAGGGCAATTCCATTATTTTCTTTTATGCTCATAGGTCAACAATCAAAATTCATTGACCTTTCTCTTTTCACCTTTTCCTCCGAAAATTGAAAGGTGCCTTTCTTTGATTATTATGTACAATTCTACTAAATCTTGTAATGATCCATTCATTAGTTTTTGCATAATCCTGCTAACAGGCAGAAAGAGACAGATAGACAGAAAGTACAGCACTGAATATAGAACCTCCTTGGCGGAGGTAATTAAAGCACTTTCCTGAACATGAGCAAAACTGATGTCTAAACTGACAATTTATAACTTGTGACTCTCTTGTCCTAAGAAGTGCTCTGTTTGTTTTAAGTTTAACTTCATGAGAATAGCTTAGTGGTTAAGGTGCTTGGCTTCTTCCTAATCCTAGGGTTCTGGGTTCAATTCATGTGACAGCAAGACTTTTTCTCACAGCTAAAAACAACTGCACCCCCTAAGCCTCACAGAGGGACTTCACTGATAAAAGCATCAAATTATTTAAAAGGGTCCCTGAATATCAGCCGACCTTTTATGATATGCTTGAGGGGTCATTCTCTATAAATATAGTTAAAAAAGTGAGGATGTAGTTTAGTCTTGAGGATGCGAGTTATATGAAGTTTCAACAATAAAAGTTCATTGTTATTGACTTGCCTTTGTCTTTCAGCATTTTGGACAACATCGTCTGAATAAATCCAGGAATCTCTGTGAAGCGACACTGATTCATAACCTGCTGACGAACGACATCGGAAAACCCATAATACATACCCGCACGCATTCCAGACATGGCGAAGTCCTATGTAAAAAGAGAGCAAAGCCTAGATGAATATTCAAAGTTGCTGTTGAAAAAGAAGGAATATTTAAAATAGAGCTGTTCAATATACATTATAATTGAGGGAATTTTGCATCCCATCGAACATAAAAACTCTCCCTGTTAACCCTTACCAAGGATTTTTTTAATTCCCAGACCCTGACCAAATTTCTAGTAAGCCTCTTGGTTCGGACTCTCTGCCGGACATGTCAAACCTCCTGTCGGCAAATTTATGGAGCCACCACCTACAGTTGTCTCTCCACCCCCATGAGTGGGTACCTAGTAGGTTTGAACACCAATACGCTGATTACTATCAGAAATATTGTAGAATATTCCCCCAGGAAGTTAAAAATCTGTTGTGTGCCTATATATGGTCATGATGTGATGTCATCATGACCCTATTTAGGCATGTCTCATTAAGGTATTTATTGCACAATCAAAAAACATTAAAATATATAACAGCAGTTAAACAAAGGAAAGACTGAAATTGTTATATTTACAAGGGAATTAAAAAGAAAAAATTACTATACACAATTCATAATTAGGCCTACAATTAAGATATACAATTCAAATTACAATTCCAAAATACAATTCAAAATTACTTATATAAAAAAAGGAAGTAAGAAAAAAAAAATTATTCCTATTCATTCATTCCTATTCATTTGTTTATTTTCAATTAAGCGAAACAGAGTATTTACGAAACTGTTCGAAATTATTCAGGTTAGCATATGTCTAGCAATATATACGTTAAGATTCGTAGTAACAATAATCAATTAACCAAAATGACATCAAAAAAGCACAAACAAACCACAAAATTCACAAATT